CACCTCTGACCGACACTTCCTGTTTCCTTGGCGGGACGTCCCACGTCTCCGTCTGACACACGGGGGTTTCTCCCCCGCCTCCAGGGGGAAGTCTCTGGGCACTGCCCCCGTCAGCTCCTGACCAATCACAACACACCTAATATGACATCATACCCACAACCAGTTCAAACAGATCAGGACTGTCCAGGACCACGTCAGACCGTGACCCGGAATGGCTCTGATTGGATAATCCCTTTTGGAGGGAGGGGTCAGTGTATGACATCACTCACCGCCTCCTGCAGACAGATGCGTCTCAGCTCAGCCAATCGTGTGCTCAGCAGCGTCTGCAGGCCCCGCCTCCTCTCCTGCAGCTCTGCCATTCGCTCCTTGTGCTTCTTGTCTGGACATGTGAGAGGGTCTGCTCACACACACACACACACACACACACACACACACAAACTGTCACACATGTCCTCGTTAACACTCATCATGTTGCTGCTCTTTTGTTCTCACCAGGTGCTGAGATGAGCTGACCGTTGACCTCCATGGCTGGTGTTTCCCATGTGACTCCACCTCCTCCTGTTCACCACTCCACACACACTCACTCACCTGCAGAACACATTCAATTCAACCTTTATTGTCCCGGACAGATACAAACACAGATGTTTCCAGTTGTTACTGAACTGATCAATCAATGTCACCTTGTAAATGTGTTCATAGGAGCTCCAGTAGTTCACTCCTGTGGCCATCAACAGCCTGAACACCAACCACAGGACTTCACTGGTTAGCAGTTAGCTGCTAGCTGCTAGTGGTTAGCGGTTAGCTGCAGTTCTCCAGCTGCAGTTCTGTCCTTCCCTGTAGAAGGACAGAAACGGTCTTCAGAACCTCTGACCTGAAAAGACAACAGAAGAAGAGAAGGAGGAGGTGTGAGGATCAATCAGAAGTCAGGAAAATAAACATCAAGTTCAGAATCAAACCGAATCTCCAGGATCCAGTTTCTGTCCAATTTAAGACATATAATGGATATACATTGTAACAAACAGACAGACAGACGGAAAGAGAGACAAAGAGACAGAGACAGACAGAAAGACAGAGAGAGAGAGACAGAGAGAGAGACAGAAAGACAGAGAGAGACAGAGCGAGAGAGAGACAGACAGACAGAGAGAGACAGAAAGACAGACAGAAAAACAGAGAGAGAGAGACAGACAGACAGACAGAAAGAGAGAGAGAGAGACAGAAAGAGAGAGAGAGACAGAAAGACAGGCAGACAGAGAGTTGACTAACGTAAAGAGGAGGTTCCACTAGAGGAGGGCCGATGTGTTGTTTTTTTAAAGCTCATTAACTATTTTCACTTTGTTTTCAGATTTCACTTCCTGTTTATTAGCTTCTACATCATTGTAAATATATAAATACTAGTGCTGGGCAACGATTACAATTTGTAATCACGATTAATCTCATTGTTATGCGCAAAGTTCAATAATGAATTCAAAAGTAGTGTATTGTGCACTTTTATTTTAAAGTACTGCTATATGAACAAAAGGTCAATAACATTTGGTTTAAACCCTTTAAACACATCAGGTTCTTGTTAGCAGCAGTATTCCCTTTACACAGCAGCAGTTAAACAGTTATAATGATTCTGATCATAGATATTCAGCCGGTGTTCATAACTTTATCTTCATGTGTGTAAGAGATGACATTTAAATATACTTCTTGAAAACTGCAAACCTATCTACGTCATGTTTTTTATGTTTGTTAAATTATCAGTAGTGATCACTAAATGATGCTTATTATACATATTACAAACAAAACACTTTAAAAACTCTAAAACAATCATTTAAATTAATCATTTATTTTTTTGGTATTGTGGTCAGACACATATGCAACACTGATTACCGTAATATGTGTGGTATTTGTTATAAATGTACGTTGGTACATAGAGGGTGATAAGAAACTGTACATGGAGGGACTTAGGACCCAGGGGAATGTAGGTGAAGGAAACAGGAAGCGACGGAAGAGACGCCACACAAACAGATGTTCGTTAACACGCGATAAAATAATTGTCGGCGTTAATTAATGAATGCATTAACGCGATAATAGCGCGATAACTTGCCCAGCACTAATAAATACATATATATTGATATATTGTGTGTATGTATGTATATATATATATGGATATATTGTGTGTATATATATAGATATATATAGATATATATATTGTCTGTGTGACACCAATCAAACTGATGCATGGAAACGTCCTCACAGAGATACAAATACACACACACACACACACAGGTAACACATGAAAAATTGGTGTGTACGTGTGTGTGTATCTGTGTGAAGAATGAATGTAGGTCAGGCAGCAGATTCTCCGCATGGCAACAATGTAGAAAATCCCAACTCTGAATACTCACATCTGATTGGCTGAGAGCTGCAGACAGAGAGCCAATAACCTTTACACCCACGGGGCATTCAGTGTGTGTGTGTGTGTGTGTGAGACTGTGTGTGTGACTGTATGTGTGTGTGTTAATGTGTGTGTGTCTGACTGTGTGTGCGCGTGTGTGTTTGTGTGGGTGTGTGACTGTGTGTGTTAGAGTAGAATCTGTAGTCTGGTGAAATCACAGTGACATCACACATACAGCAGGTGAGTGGGCGGAGTCACAGACAGAACAAACTCAGAATAAAAACAGAAGCGTTACAGGAGTCAAACTACACATCCCAGAGGGCATTGCTGTAAGAACTGTCCAATCAGAGAGCTTCAGACTCTGTTGTCGGGCAGCAGCTGAATTCAGTTCTGATTATGATGTAACTGTGACATCACTCCTCTGGATGGAAGTGTCTCCATAGCAACACAAGCTGAGGCTCATGGGTATTGTAGTGTTTGGAGACATTTAGAAATATGATATGATATACCAATACAACACTAATATAAAGTTAATATATATTTTACATACAATATACATTGTATATGTTATATAGTTTATATATAATAATATTTATATATATATTATATAGTTTATATTTAAAATAAAGTATATATATATATATATATATATATATATACTATATTTGTATATAATTTCACATGAAGAATAAACACAAACATGAAGAATATTATACTCACAGTACATAATGTACTTTTACTTTGAATACTTTCAGTACATGTTGCTGTTGATACTTTTAGTACCATCGGAATGGATCACAATGCATTCTGGGTAGATTTGTGTCTGACTTGTCATCAATGACCTCAGACTTTAGAGCCAGGTGACCCCAATGCATGATGGGAAACGGCTGTCTGTCTCCAGATCAGAGAGCTGATTGTTCTAAGAGCCAAACACTTTTTAATATTTAACACTCGATTGTTTATTAGTCTCACAGAAAGTTTAATCTAAAAACGTCTGCTGTGTGATTAATAATAATAACTACACACACACACACACACACACACGTGGCGCTGGGTGGGGACATCCCATAATCAACAGTAAATAATTTCTTCGTCACCAATGTGTTGGAACTGATCTGTTTCCTGCAGAACAACACAGCGGACCAATCAGAGGACATGTTGTTATTGTTGATTCTTCTCTGGAGACAGTTCTAGGACTCGACTCCTGTTTGATGTCCCCGCTGTGACGTGCCGCCACCTGCCGAGAGACGACATGTGTGTGTGTGTGTGAGTGAGTGTGTGAGGAGGAGCTCCTACCTTGATCACCTGCGGGAGGAGACCTCACCTCCGGCGGGCATCGATCGTGCGGCTCCTCGGTCACATGATCACCCGGAGCTCGGTCCTCCGGTCAGCTGATTGTCTCCCGCCTCGTGTCTATCATCAGGTGTGATCGATCAATCGATCGGTTGATGATCGATTAATCGGTTGGTTGTCGCCTCGTGCAAAGGAGCCGATGAGCGCGGCCGCCCCGATGATCGATCATCGCGGATCGATGCGCTTCATCCTCCTCCTCCTCCTCTTCCTCATCAATCCCGCAGCAGACTGAACGGAGCCGCGCTCCATCAGCACCAAGAGGCGCGCTCACAGAGCCGCGGACACGCGCACGTCCATTGCGTGCACACAGACTCGTAATGACGGATTTCTGTGGACTGATCGATAATAACTTTATGTAAATGAGATAATCGATCGATCTGTCTTCCTCATGTGTCAATAAAGATTTATTCAATGTATTTATTTGGACACAAAAATAATAAAATAGATAATAAAGAATAAATCGATAATAAAAGAGTATAAATAAAGTATGAATAGATAATAAATAAAGAATTAATAAAGAATACATAAATAATAAATACATGATCAAATAAAGAATGAATAGATAACAAATAAAGGCTGTTAGCCTACATAAACCAGACAGAGATCCAGCTGCGGGTTAGTGAGGCGGTGCCATGCACTGCTCTGAGGGGGGAGCACTGATAAATATGATATATATATATAAATATTATTATTATTATTATTATATATATATTATGTTAAATAAGCAGGACAGACGGGTCTGTGTGCCCAGATGGGAGCCACCATCTTGCTGCCAACGGCAACCAAACAAACACAGAGAGGCTAGGTGGCTAACGGCTAACAGAGATACACAGTGTAGTACTAAATACACAGTGTCGTACTAAATACATCATGATACACAGTGTAGTGCTAAATACACAGTGTAGTACTAAACACATCATGATACACAGTGTAGTACTAAATACATCATGATACAGTGTAGTACTAAATACACAGTGTAGTACTAAATACATCATGATACAGTGTAATACTAAATACACAGTGTAGTACGTCACTGATAACGCGACGTCACTGATAACGCGTCGTCGATAACGCGTCGTCGCCGATAACGCGTCGTCGCCGATACCGCGTCTTCGCCGATACCGCGTCTTCGCCGATACCGCGTCTTCGCCGATAACGCGACGTCGCCGATAACGCGACGTCACTGATAACGACGTCACTGATAACACGACGTCACTGATAACACGATGTCAATGATGACACGTCACTGATAACATGACACTACAGGTTTGATGATGTCATACCTTCATCTGACCCTCAGCAGCTGAAGGACTCTGTGTTTATTGATTTGTATAAACTTAGTGAATGAATAGTTCATATACACACATGTGACACACAACGGCCTCCTTACAGTTCATCATACAAACATATTGATCAAAGTGTGAAACAGGTCAGTGGTGTTTAGCAGGAAGATAATCCAGCTCGTCACTCTCCTCCGGTCCTCGGTCACAACTCCTCCCTCCGTCTGACGTCACACAGGAAATAAGAAATGAGACACGAGTGAGATGAACAGTCAATAAAATGAGAATAAATATGTAATAAGACATGAAATGAGAGTAAACACATTTGATATGAATATGATGAGTTAAATGAGATGAGGACATTAACTATGATAAAATAAAGTATTTAAAACATGAAATATCCACGTGTTTTACGTACAGAGGTCATCAGACGACAGCAACTCAGGAGTTTGAATCCTCCCTTCTTCGTACAGAGTTTCCTTCTGCAGGAAACGCTGCTTACTGGGATTCATGAGGACTGAAACACAGGAAGTGGATCAGTTTATAGATTCAGACATGAACCATGAGAAGAAACGTCTCCGAAACCAATCCAATAAACAACCTTCATTATAGAACAGGTCCTTAAACAACCTGCTGAAGTACCTGAGGACTCCGGAAACAAGGACTGCAGGGACCCAGGAGAGAGGCATTCTGGGACACCGTAGAGCCCTGCTGTGGTCTGCCCTCCAGGGTCTGGTCCCGGGGGGGGCACTGTGAGGGGAGGGAAGTTGTACTGGTCTTCAGTGGGGACAGAAGGCTGGCTCAACTGGGACTCTGTGGGCCCAGTTGGACTGTGATACTGGTCTCTGGTGGATGGAGACAGAGACCTGGAGCTGGTCCCGTTGGATCTGAACTGGGAGCGAATGTCATACTGGGAGAAGCCTCGACTCTCATCGGTTTCACACGGACCGGTGAAAGAGGAGGAGTGCAGCGGGTGAGGAGGGGTGAGGGAGCAGAAAGAGGAGAGGGAGGACAACTGAGAGGACTGGGAGAGCTGGGAGGTGTACTCCAGTGGGCCCAGTTTGGACAGCTGGTTGGACAGAGCTCCCACACTGGAGTCCAGGGGGCGTGTGGGTTTGGGGAAGGACAGGGAGGGGGGTTGAAGATGAGGATGATGGAAGGGGGAGGAGGACCTGGTCTTACTCGAGACAACGTGGACATCCTGAAGTTTGTCAAACACCTGAGAGGAAAACATTGACATGAGGAACTGACCAGGTGGACTAAAATAGGACTGGTGTTGGACTAGAGTTGAACTTGTGTTGGACTAGAGTTGGACTAGAGTTGGACTAGAGTTGGACTAGAGTTGGGCTAGTGTTGGACTAGTGTTGGACTAGTGTTGGACTAGAGTTGGACTAGAGTTGAACTGGTGTTGCACTAGAATTAGACTAGAATTGGACTAGAGTTGGAGTAGAGTTGGACTGGTGTTGGACTAGAGTTGGACTAGAGTTGGACTAGAATTGGACTAGAATTGGACTAAAGTTGGAGTGGTATTGGACTGGTGTTGGACTAGAGTTGGACTGGTCTTACATTACATTACAGTCATTTAGCAGATGCTTTTGTCTAAAGCGACTTACAATAAGTGTATTCAACATCGGTATTCAAGAGAACTACTAGTCACCAGAAGTCATAAGTGCATCTCCTTTAAACAAGCATCTAAGAGCATAAACCAGAGCAGAAGTACAGAAACAAACTAGTATGAATACAGTAAGTGCAACAAACTAATATGAATACAATAAGTGCTGAGTGAAAGGCTCGGGGTAGTACTTCTTGAGTTGTACTGGTGTCGGACCACCTGCTTACAAAAACACCTTTAACAAGTCTTTCTGACCTCTGGCATTGCTGGTCTCTTCTTCCTCTTCTTGTCCAGACACCTGCAGGCCAGATCCACCACCTCCATGCAGCAAGCTGGTTCTGCTGTGCCCCCTGAAGACACATCATGAGTACAGCAGTTGAGGTAACAAGCAGGAATATCAGCTGATACAAATATACACAGACTTACCTGAGATCAGCCGGTGGTCCAGCTGGTTCCTCCAGTCCTCAACCTCCTCCACCAGGTCCTTCTACACAACCAGAAACACATCACTGAGACATTCATCACAGTGTGCGTTTGTCTGTCTGTGTGTGTGTCTGAGTGTGTGTGTGTGTTCTCACCAGGTATGTCTCTCCTGACTTCCTGTCCGTCTCCAGAGCTCGACGTCCCGTCAGAACCTCCAACAAAACCTGAAACACACGAGATGTGTGATGTCATGAGATACGATGACATCACTGTGCTCATGACATATGACACGATATCGAGACGACATTTCACCCTCCCCTCACCAAGACCAGGACTCAAACCACAACATCAGGTTCAGGACTAGAGGGGATCAGGACTAGAGGAGATCAGAATTAGAGGGGATCAGGACTAGAGGAGATCAGGACTAGAGGAGATCAGGACTAGAGGGATCAGGACCAGAGGGAATCAGCACTAGAGGAGATCAGGACTAGAGGGGATCGGGACTAGAGGGGATCGGGACTAGAGGAGATCGGGACTAGAGGAGATCGGGACTAGAGGAGATCGGCACTAGAGGGGATCAGCACTAGAGGGGATCAGCACTAGAGGCGATCAGGACTGGAGGGGATCAGGACTAGAGGAGAGCAGCACTAGAGGAGAGCAGGACTAGAGATCAGCACTAGAGGAGATCAGGACTAGAGGAGATCAGGACTAGAGTAGATCAGGACTAGATTGATCAGCACTAGAGGGGATCAGGACTAGAGGGGATCAGGACGAGAGGAGATCAGGACGAGAGGGATCAGGACCAGAGGGGATCAGGACCAGAGGGGATCAGGACTAGAGGAGATCAGGACTAGAGGGATCAGGACTAGAGGGATCAGCACTAGAGGAGATCAGGGCTAGAGGAGATCAGGACTGGAGGGGATCAAGACTAGACGAGATCAGGACTGGAGGGGATCAGCACTWGAGGAGATCAGCACTAGAKGAGATCAGSACTAGAGGRGATCAGGACTAGAGGGGATCAGGACTAGAGGGGATCASGACKAGAGGGGATCACGACTAGAGGGGATCAGGACCAGAGGAGATCAGGACCAGAGGAGATCAGGACCAGAGGGGATCAGGACCAGAGGGGATCAGGACTAGAGGGATCAGGACTAGAGGAGATCAGGACTGGAGGGGATCAGGACTAGAGGAGATCAGCACTAGAGGAGATCAGGAGTGGAGGAGATCAGGAGTGGAGGGGATCAGGACTAGAGGAGATCAGCACTAGAGGAGATCAGGACTAGAGGAGATCAGGACTAGAGGGGATCAGGACTAGAGGGGATCAGGACTAGAGGAGATCAGGACTAGAGGAGATCAGGACTAGAGGAGATCAGGACTAGAGGAGATCAGGATTAGAACTGAAAGTCTTTGATGATCCCAGCGGAGATCTTCTGTGTCAGGTGAACTAACTACATTTCCCATGAGCACCTGCGGTGTCTCACCACTCCAAAGCTGTAGACATCCACAGCCGTCCCCAGCTGTCCGTCCCTCACGTATTCGATGGGGAGGTACGCCAGCGTTCCTCTGACCGTCTCCGTTTTACCCACCGACGCCGTCTGAGACGCCGAGCGTCCCAACGAGCCGCGACACGCAAACCGAGCCAAACCGAAGTCGGCCAGCTTGGCCACCAGGTGGCGGTCCAACAGGATGTTTGAGCTGCGGAGACAAAGACGGACACAAGACCTCAGAATTCAGAGCCGGTCTAACTGGATCGTGGTGTTGGCAGAGACCAGGATCGTCTGCAGACCTCTTCACGTCTCCGTGGATCAGAGCCCTGTGACCGTCGGGGGGGAAGTGAAGGAACTGCAGCGCTGCTGAGGCTCCTTTAACCACACCGACTCTCTGAGACCAGGACAGACACACACACTCCTGAGAGAGCACACACACACACACACACACACACACACACACACACACACCAGGACATAAGGATACAAAATCTTAAAACACGTACAGTATGTGTGTTACACGATTGTATTCATCTTCTGGAGCAACAACTGAACTTCTGACTCACCCAGAATCTGATAAGTATTTTATTCTTGTTTTAACTAAGTTGTCTTTATAGCTGTACTTAGGCTTGACTCAGTTGTGATTGGACTGTGAGTTTCTGCCTGTCTGAGGAGGTGTGATTTAGTCTCAGCTGCTGAATAGCTTTGCTAATTGCAAGGGAGGAGCCTGCACTCCTGGCAGACAATCAGTAGATTGCTCTTCTGGAGTTGGGAAGCGTCAGGCAAACGAAGGCTAGGGCGAACAAAGGCAACAGGGCGACTTTTTTAAGCCCGACTTCATTAAGCTAAGACTTCTCGAACGTGTAGTTACCACATTTTTATTTGTCAAACCATGTGTTTGCATCCGATTTCGGTCCGCTCCTCTGCTCGGTGGTCACGTAGACGTTGGGCCCCTGCCAGGTGCCGTGACCCCAACAACCTCATTTATCCTACTGTCTCAGCTCATGTTGAGCGAGTGGTGGTGGGGGGGCTCTGGAATTGCCAGTCGGCAGTGCCGAAAGCTGAGTTCATCTCGGGCTACGCTTCCTTGCTCCCTCTTAGCTTTCTTGCTCTAAATGAGACCTGGATCACATCAGAAAACACCAGAAGTGTACTCTTTCTCTCACACTCCCAGAGCTGCGAGGCGAGGTGGTGGTACTGGCCTGCTACTCTCCCCAAAATGGAAATACACTCTTGTCTCTGTTCCACAGTTCTCCTCGTCCTCTTTCAAATTTCATGCGGTTACCGTCACTCATCCGGTCAAGCTCACCATTGCTGTTGTGTATTGCCCACCGGGGCCTCTTGGTGAGTTCCTGGAAGATCTCGACAGACTAGTCTCTCACTTCCATGACGATGGCTCAACACTCATCCTGCTCGGCGACTTTAACATCCAGGCTGATAAGTTAGAACCTCTTCTTTCCTTCCTCTCGTCCTTCGACCTTTACCACTCCTCTTCTCCTCCTACCCACAAGGCCGGCAACCAGCTGGATCTTATCTTCACTAGACACTGTTCTACTGCTAACCTCTCGGTCACTCCCCTCCAGCTCTCTGACCACTATTTCATGTCTTACTCCCTCTCCCTCTCCTCTCCCCCCGTACTTCCTCCACCTACTCGCATGGTTTCTACCCGTAGTCATCTCCGCTCCCTCTCCCCGGCTGATCTTTCCTCTTCTGTTACCTCTGCTCTCCCTGACCCTGAATCCTTCTCTCTCCTATCCCCTGATACTGCTACTGATCTTCTCCTCTCCACCCTTTCCTCTTCTTTGGACAACCTCTGTCCCTTCACCTCCAGGCCTGCACGGCCAACCCCACCTGCCCCATGGCTGTCGTACTGACAGACGGAGCCTAAGAGAGGCTGAGCGAAAATGGAGAAAAGGCAAACTCCCGGAGGACCTTCTTAACTTCCAAGCTCTTCTTTCCACTTTTTCCACCACTATCTACTGCTAAAGCTGCTTTCTTCCGCTCCAAAATCCTAACCTCTGCTTCCAATCCTAAAAAACTCTTCGAAACGTGCTCCCTTGACCCGATCCCCTCCCCTCTTCTTCAGTCTATTGCGATTGAACTCCTTCCTTTCCTCACCCACCTCATCATCACATCTCTTGTTTCAGGATGCTTTCCCACAGCTTTCAAGACTGCCAGAGTCACCCCCCTTCTGAAAAAACCATCACTTGACCCCTCTGATGTCAAGAACTTCAGACTGGTTTCTCTTCTACCCTTTCTTTCCAAAACACTTGAACGTGCTGTCTTTACTCAACTGTCTTCCTATCTCCACCAAAACAACCTCTTGGACCCCCACCAGTCCGGGTTCAAAGTGGGTCACTCGACTGAGACAGCCCTCCTTGCGGTGACTGAGTCGATCCACGACTGAGTCGATAACTCTCTCTCCTCTGTCCTGATTCTCCTGGACCTGTCTGCGGCGTTTGACACTGTGAACCACCAGGTCCTCCTCTCCACCCTCGAGGGGATGGGCGTCTCAGGCTCTGCACTCTCCCTGTTTGCATCCTACCTGTCAGGTCGATCCTACCAGGTGACATGGAGGGGGGCCGTGTTGGAACCACGCATGCTGACTACGGGGATTCCACAAGGTTCAGTTCTGGGCCCCCTTCTCTTCTCGCTCTACACAACATCTCTGGGTTCTGTTATTCGCTCGCATGACTTCTCTTACCATTGTTATGCCGATGACACCCAGCTGGTCTTGTCATTTCCCCCCAGTGATACTCAAGTGGAGGCACGCATCGCTGCGTGCTTGGCTGACATCTCGAAGTGGATGACAACACACCACCTCAAGCTCAACCTGGACAAAACCGAGCTACTGTTCATCGCGGGGAAGGGTTGCCCTCACCGAGACCTGTCAATCACCATTGACGATACCGTGGTGACGCCAACTCGGACTGCGAGAAACCTGGGTGTGACCCTGGACGACCAACTGTCATTCTCAGCAAACATTGCATCGGGTACACGCTCCTGCAGATTCCTGCTCGACAACATCAGGAGGATTCGCCCCTTCCTCACTGACGAGACGGCGCAGGTGCTAATCCAGGCTCTTGTCATCTCCCGCCTGGACTACTGCAACTCTCTACTTGCCGGAGCCCCGGCGTCGGCCATCAGACCTCTGGAGCTTGTCCAGAAAGCTGCAGCTCGCCTGGTGTTCAATCGCTCCAAGTTCTCCCACACAACTTCCCTTCTGCGTAAGAGCTCACATCCAGTTTAAGACTCTGGTGCTAGCCTACAGGGCAGTGAAAGGAACAGCTCCTTCCTACCTCCCGGCCATGGTCAAGCCCTACACCCCGCCCGACCTCTTCGCTCTGCTGCCTCGGGGCGATCGGTTGCCCCGTCGCTCAGAGGTCCCTGCGGCCGATCGACCCGGTCGCGGCTGTTTTCTGTCCTGGCCCCACAGTGGTGGAATGAACATCTTTCGGCGCAGGCTGAAAACTCACCTCTTCAAGAAGGCCTACCCTGAGCCTTCCACTTAGCATTTACTTAGCATCTATTGTATTCATACTAGCTTATTGCACTTATTGTATTCATATTAGTTTGTGGCACTTATTGCATTCGTTTGTTTCTGCACTGTACGTTGGCTCTGGTTTATGCTCTTAGATGCTTGTTTGAAGAAAGGAGATGCACTTATGACTTCTGGTGACTAGTAGTTCTCTCGAAAACCGATGTTGAATACACTTATTGTAAGTCGCTTTGGATAAAAGCGTCTGCAAAATGACTGTAATGTAATGTTGTGTGTTATGTGTGTTACATTGTTTGTGTTACATTGTGTGTGTGTATATATGTGTGTGTTACGTTGTGTTTGATACATTGTGTATGTGTATGTGTGTGTGTGTGTGTTACATTGTGCAGCTGGTCCTCCAGTGATCTGAGCTCCATGTAGCTGTAGATCAGACACACTGATCCTGGTCCTTCACTGAAACCCAACAGATCCACGATGTTGGGATGTCTGAACCTGAACAACAAACTGTGATCACATCTCATGAACACAAACACAGGTAGAAATATATAAATACTAGTGCTGGGCAACGATTACAATTTTTAATCGTGATTAATCTCATTGTTATGCTCAAAGTTCAATAATGAATTCAAAAGTAGTGTATTGTGCACTTTTATTTTGAAAGTACTGCTATATGAACAAAAGGTCAATAACATTTGATTTGTAAACACTTTAAACACATCAGGTTCTTGTTAACAGCAGTATTCCCTTTACACAGTAGCAGTTATAACACAGTTATAATGATTCTGATCATAGATATTCAGCCGGTGTTTTTATTTTTTATGTTTGTTAAATTCTCAGTAGTGATAACTAAATTATATGCTTATTATACATATTACAAACAAAACACTTTAAAAACTAATTTAAATGAATCATTTCTTTTTTGTTTTTTTGGTATTGTGGTCAGACACATATGCAACGCTGATTACCGTGTAATATGTGTGGTATTTGTTATAAATGTACGTTGGTATATAGAGGGTGATAAGAAGCTGTACGTGGAGGGACTTAGGACCCAGGGGAATGTAGGTGAAGGAAACAGGAAGAGACGCCACACAAACAGCTGTTCACCGCTCGCTGCCGGCCGGTTCTTGTGTTAAAAATGTCCGCTTAATGATATAAAAATAACCTGCGTTAACGCGCGATAAAATAATTGTCGGCGTTAATTAATTAATGCGTTAACGCGATAACTTGCCCAGCACTAATAAATACATATACGTGTATATATATGTATACAGTATATAAATATATACTCACTTTGACAGTTGGTCCACTTCAGTCTGAAAGCTCTCCTTCAGCAGAGTCCAGTCCAGCAGACAGTCCTACAACAACAAAAACAACAGCTGTGACCAATCACAGTCCACTTCCTGTCAGTGACATATGTAGAAACCCTCTGATTGGAGGAGACTCAGGTAATAAAGGTGCGGCCATGTCAAACTCCTCTATGAGGACAGCCAATAGAAACACATGTGATCCATAGTTATTGATCAGTGATGTGACTCATGTGTGACCTGCGCTGTGATTGGCTGACCTGTTTGAGTCTCTTGACAGCACAGTCGGTGTTCCTCAGAGACGCTCTGTACACGACTCCAAACCCCCCCTCCCCCACCTGTAGGGAGGGGGAGAACCCCACCGTCCCAGCATGCACCTCTTCATACGACCAGCACATCACCCCGCTGCTGCTCGTCACCACCGGGGGGGGCTGAGGGGCGACATCATCATCATCAGTATATTAGAACATCACCGTGGATGTGTGCGTGTGTGTGTGTGTGTGTGTGTGTTACCTGGGCGGGTTGGTGAAGGTCAGATTGCAGATTGGGGGGGGGGCGGGGCCGGTCTGGGTAGGCGTCTTCCTCCTCCTTCATCTACTGAATGAAGAACAGGAGATGAAGAGCGGGAGATGAGGAGCGGGAGATGAGGAGCGGGAGATGAAGAGCGGGAGATGAAGAGCGGGAGATGAGGAAAGGGAGATGAGGAACGGGAGATGAAGAGCGGAAGATGAAGAACGGGAAATGAGGAACGGGAGATGAGGAACGGGAGATGAGGAACGGGAGATGAGGAACGGGATGTTACCTGTGTGTGTGTTACCTGTGTGTGTGTTACCTGTCGAGCTTAGTCTGACGGTGCTCATTGTGGGCATGGCCTCAGACTGTGTGGGTTGAGGAAGAGGAGGAGGAGGTGAGGAAGGCTTCAGACTAGAGGCCCCTGCAGAGAGAGGAGAGAGAGGAGGAGGAGGTGATGAAGGCTTCAGACTGGAGGCCCCTGCAGAGAGAGAGAAGTCAGCTGTGGTGTTTGAGAACTCACAGCCCAGGATGACATCACGGGGGCGGAGCAGCTCCAGACGCTCCAACAGGTCGATCAGCTCCCCAACACAACCGTTCCTGTTCTCCCATTGGTTCATCACCCAGTCTGTCCGCCTCTTGATCTTCTCGGCCAATCGTACGGCGGTCTGATCCCAGAGGACCTCTGAGGCTTTAAACACATGTAAATACATTTATCAATGAATCCAACCAGAGCCAATCAGAGTACTGTGTATACTACTTTAAGGTACTTGAACATATTATTTCCATGTTCTGCTACTTTGTACTTAAATGTTGTAGTTTTGACTACATTCATCTGACAGCTTGAGTTATTCACAGATGATTAATCAACTAATAAATGATGATGATCTATTGTTATAGATGAAGATCAAACTATTGATCTTTACAAACTAGCAGCAGATGGAATATGAAGTAGTTTATAACACTTTAATATCATAATACAGCTATTTTAATACTAGTGTCCTGTTACTTCAGTATCAGGGTAATACTAGTATACTTTTACCTCAGTATCAGTATAATACTAGTGTACTTTTACCTCAGTATCGGGGTAATACTAATATACTTTTACTTCAGTATCAGGATAATACTCGTGTACTTAACGTTACTTGTTCACACAGTAGCATTACACCTTGTTAACGTTACTTGTGTACTTAACGTTACTAGTGTACTTAACTTTACAGTGTACCTAATGTTACAGTGTACTTAGCGTTAATAGTGTACTTAACATAACTAGTGTACTTAACGTTACAATGTACTTAACATTACCAGTGTACTTAACGCTAGTGTACTTAACGTTACCAGTGCACTTAACGTTACCCGTGTACTTAACGTCACCAGTGCACTCAACGTTACCAGTGCACTCAACGTTACCTGTGTACTTAATGTTACTTGTGTACTTAATGTTACTTGTGTACTTAATGTTACTTGTGTACTCCCCAGGCGCCTGTCATGGGCAGCCCACTGCTCCCTATATACAGGGATGGGTCAAATGCAGAAACAAATTTCCCCCTTATCGGGATCAATATAGTATAAAAAAAATAAAATAAAAAATACTTAACGTTACTTGTTCAGAGAGTAACGTTAGCATTACACATTGTTAGCCATTAGCAGCTACAGTTAACATTACACCTTTTTAGCCGTTAGCAGCTACAGAAGCTCCTGGTTCTGGTCCTGACTCACCAAAGCGGGTCCAGTCCAGGTCCGACAGTCCGTCCATGACCCGGAAGAACTCCCAGAGAACGGAGGGCGGCAGCTGGTAGAGAAAAGTCGCTCTGTAGTCTCCTGAAGACATGTTTTAATTGAGACTAAACGGTACCTGAAGCTAACAGCTAACAGCTAAAAGTACCCGGATGTCTCCATCACTTCAGAACCGTCCGGATCAAACAAGCTACAAACTTTAAAAACTGTAAAATCAACAAGTTTAGCTCCTCTGCTGCTTCCGGTCTCTGCGGCTCAAGCTCACTGCAATAAGAGTCGGTTCCGTTCAGTACCCCTCCACAATAAAAGACGTGTAGCCTCACACCGGGTCTCCTGATAAATGAATACTCTTTTAGAGCAAAAATATATAGAAAGTCATATCTATGAGATAGAAATTAATTAATTAATTATTAATCATTATTATGTTTATAATAATAATAATTATTATTGTTTATATTTTTATTATGTATTACAGTGATTTCATTATATATATATACACATATAATATATATATACACACATATACACACACACATATATACACACACACACACACACACACACACACACACACACACACACATACATAT